GCAGCAGCATAAACTGCTGTATCACAATGCCAGTCCCGGTCCTGGCATTCATTGAAAGAGACTTCTCCTGGGAAAGCCTCTTGGTGTGGCTCTGTTGTCTTGTAAATTTTATGTTACTAGCAGTTTTTTTTTTTTTGACAGACAGAGTGGACAGTGAGAGAGAGAGACAGAGAGAAAGGTCTTCCTTCTCCGTTGGTTCACCCCCCAAGTGGCCGGCGGCGTGTTGCAGCCAGCCCACCATGTTGATCTGAAGCCAGGAACCAGGTACTTCTCCTGGTCTCCCATGCAGGTGCAGGGCCCAATGACTTTTGCCTTCCTCCACTGCACTCCCCGGCCACAGCAGAGAGCTGGACAGAAAGAGGAGCAACTGGGACAGAATCCAGCACCCCGACCGGGACTAGAACCTGGTGTGCCGGTGCCATAGGTGGAGGATTAGCCTATTGAGCCATTGTGCCAGCCTCCTAGCAGTATTTTTTTCATTGCATTTTATGTAAGTGTTGGTCCACAACAGATTGGAATGGGGTAGGGATGAAATTTAAAATGTGCCAACTACAGTTTTCCTTTATCCACGAGTGATCTATACCAAGACCCTCAGTAGATGCCTGTAACCTCAGTCAGTACTGAATTCTGTATGCAGTGTGCTTCATTTTTATCATAAATCTTAGTTTAGTATTTTTTCCCTTATGTTGAAAACTTTCTCCTTTTCGCTCAAAGGAAGCACTTTGTGACTGCTTTTTGGAATAGCTGAATTTCTGTCGTTACTATTATTTTAATTGGGGTAATTATTAAATAAAATAAGGGTTACTTGGACACAAACACTGTGATTCCATGATGGTAGAGATGATTAACCAAGATGGTATTAAATAATTAATGTGAGTAGTGTGTACAGTGGGGACACATTGTACAAAATTATTTCTGAGAACGGCCGGCGCCGTGGCTCAATAGGCTAATCCTCCACCTTGCGGCGCCGGCACACCGGGTTCTAGTCCCGGTCGGGGCGCCGGATTCTGTCCCGGTTGCCCCTCTTCCAGGCCAGCTCTCTGCTATGGCCAGGGAGTGCAGTGGAGGATGGCCCAGGTGCTTGGGCCCTGCACCCCATGGGAGACCAGGAAAAAGCACCTGGCTCCTGGCTCCTGCCATCGGATCAGCGTGGTGCGCCGGCTGCAGTGGCGGCCATTGGAGGGTGAACCAACGGCAAAGGAAGACCTTTCTCTCTCTGTCTCTCTCTCTCACTGTCCACTCTGCCTGTCAAAAAAAAAAAATTATTTCTGAGAAGGAGAGAGTAGGACAGCCCAAGATTTCATCACACTCCTCAGAAGGGCACAAGATTTAAAACTCAAATTGCTTATATCTGGAATTTTCTTTGAAAAGATTTGTTTATTTATTTGAAAGTCAGAGTTACACAGAGAGGAGAGGCAGAGAGAGAGAGAGAGAGAGAGAGAGAGGCAGGCATCCATCCAATGGTTCACTCCCCAGTTGGCCGCTATGGCTGGAGCTCTGCTGATCTGAAGCCAGGAGCCAGGAGCTTCTTCCTGGTCTTCCACGTGTATACAGGGGTCCAAGGACTTGGGCCATCCCCCACTGGCCTCCCAGGTGACAGCAGAGAGCTGGATCAGAAGTTTAACAGCTGGGACTCAAACCAGTGCCCATATTGGGTGCCAGCGCTGCAGGCAGCAGCCTTACCCACTAAGCCATTGTGTCACCCCCCCGCCCATAAGTTTTTTTTTTTTTTACAAAATTTATTTGAAAGGCTTAGTTAGAGAGAGACAGAGCTTCCAGCCACTAATTCACTCCCCAAATGGTCAAAACAGTCTGGGTGGGGCTGCCTGGGCCAGGGGCCTGGAAAAGAGGTGGAACAGGTTAATAAGATTAGAAAGTCAAGTCCAATCAAAACTGAAGAGATTACCACGAGCAGGAAACAACAACTAGCAAACCAATTAGGTCTTTGTGTGCCCATACATCATTCCCACCACACCCTTTGTTTAAATTTTCTTCATTTATTTGAAAGGCAATGTTAGAGAGAGAAACACAGAGCGAGGTCTTCCATCTACTGGTTCACTCTCCAAATGGCTGCAAGGGCTGGAACTGGGCCAGGCTGAAGCCAGGAGCCAGGAATTTCATCCCGTCTCCCAGATGGGTGGCAGGGACCCTAGCACTTTGGCCATTCTCTGCTGCTTTTCCCAGGCCATTAGCAGGAAGCTGGATCAGAAAAGCTGCAGCCAAGACATGAATCAGCACTCAAATGGAAAACTGGCATCACAGGCAGCATCTTTTACCTGCTATGCCACAGTGATGGTCCCATGCATTTAGTATTTCAATTGGGTATTTTTATTGAAGTCTAATTATATACAGAAAGCTGTAAAAATCATAAGCATATAGCTTGGTGAAAAGTCAGCATGCCTATGGAATTACTTCCTAGGGGAAAAAGCAGTAAAATATTACCCACTAAGACTGGAAATCTAATTTCCTATGTTCTTTAGCCCATGCTGAGACAAGGCTCCTATAAAGCCCTCCATACACCCATCCCAGCCTCTACTATTGCCTCAAAAGTAACTAACATCCTAAAGAGCATTGATAACATTGATTAATCTGGTCACCTATACAAATATTAAATAAAAATTAAAAAGACTAAATTGTAACTGGACTTTATATATGATTAAATAAAGATAGCAGTCTGACATTAACATATCCTTAAGAATAAACAAGGGGCTCTTCCAGTCCAGCTCTCTGCTGTGGCTGGGAAGGCAGTGGAGGATGGCCCAAGTGCTTGGGCCCTGCACCGCTATGGGAGACCAGGAGGAAGCACTTGGCTCTTGGCTTCACATTGGTGCAGCATGCCAGCCGTGGCAGCCATTTAGGGGGTGAACCAATGGAAGGAAGACTTCTCTGTCTCTCTCTCTCTCACTGTCTAACTCTGCCTATCAAAAAACAAACAAAAAAATAGGCCGGCGCCGCGGCTCACTAGGCTAATCCTCCGCCTAGCGGCGGCAGCACACCGGGTTCTAGTCCCGGTCGGGGCGCCGGATTCTGTCCCGGTTGCCCCTCTTCCAGGCCAGCCCTCTGCTGTGGCCAGGGAGTGCAGTGGAGGATGGCCCAGGTGCTTGGGCCCTGCACCCCATGGGAGACCAGGAAAAGCACCTGGCTCCTGGCTCCTGCCATCGGATCAGCGCGGTGCGCCGGCCGCAGCGCGCCGGCCGCGGCGGCCATTGGAGGGTGAACCAACGGCAAAGGAAGACCTTTCTCTCTCTGTCTCTCTCTCTCACTGTCCACTCTGCCTGTCAAAAAAATAAAAAAAATAAAAAAAAAAAACAAAAAAAAACACAAAAAAATAGATAAACAAGGGGCTGGCACTGTTGCATAGGGAGCAAAGGCGCCGCCTGCAGTGCCAGCATACTATATGGATGCTGGGTCAAGTCCCTGCTGCTCCACTTCCAATCCAACTCTCTGCTTCCGATCGGCCCGGCTCTGGATGTTGAAGCCATCTGGGGAGTGAAACAGTGGATGGAAAAATTTTCACTCTGACTCTCTCTCTGTCTGTAACTCTACCTCTTGAATAAACAAACAAATCTTTTAAAAATATAAACAAAGTATTTGGTGTCTGGATTATTCAGTTCACATTATGGTTCAAGATTAATACAGGTTGTTTAATGAAGCAGTTCTTTCTTTTCATTGCTATCATAAATGTTTATATGAATAAATCACAATATAGCCCATCAAATATGACACATTTAGATTGAAATTAGGACTATTCTGATTATGATGGCACAAACTTGAATATATATGAGATGGGTTTACAACCTGAAGCCAGGCACCCATTGAAGTTGGGCTCCTACCATCCCACAAAAATGAAACAGGAGCCTTGTTTTCCTTGATTGCATCGCAAATAAAATGGCTACCAGGCCCTTGAGAAAAACATTTGTGGCTTTCAAACTTGGCAAAAGGTTTGTTTTGCTTTAGAAAATGTTTACACTCTGTCAAAAAGAGGTAGAGAAATTTCTCAATTACAGTTTTTCTAAGGTAAATGCTCTAGTTTGGGAAGGGAAGAAAGTCTTATTCATTTTGCACGAAGTAGAATTTAAGTTTCCTATAAATTTATTTAAATATTAACAATTTTTAACATCTTGCTATATTCAGTAGACATATACATACACATATTGCTATTTTTCTTTTTTTAAGATATTTTTATTTATTTGAGAGGTAGAGTTACAGACAGTGAGAGGGAGAGATAGTGCCAGCCCCCTTGATTTATTCTTAAATATTGATGTTTAATGCTAATATAAGCGGAAAAGCCTTTTTAAAATATTTTTCCGATGCTTGTGATAACAATAATAAAAAACTCAGTTTATTTATTGGCCTGTGTTTGGGTACTTTGCTACATTCTCTTAGGTTACTAAATGATGGACATTTTCATGTGAACAAAATCAGGACTTCTATAAATAATCACATAATATTTGATATTTTCCTTCCTTGTTTCACTGGCTAAGGAACAGTCCAGAAACTTTTAACATTTTTGTTGTATTTGTTTTGTAGAAACTTTTTCACATCAAGGTGGTTTCTTTATATTTCTAGTTCATTAAATGCCTTTTTCAGGAGTGAGTGCTCATATTCACTTAATTTAACATATATACTGAGATGTAACATTGTTATATTCTCTCAGTGTAATTAATTGGTCTTTGAACTTTAACCCAATAATCTTCAATTTTGAAAATGAACACCACTTGTTTATACTGTATTGTTTTCTTTAAATTTGATTTGCGAGTATTATGCTTTGGATTATTTTAAAGCACTTGTGAAGTTTGTCTTCAGTGAAGTCCTCAATTCATTAGACAAAATGGGTAATATTCCCTCTTTTTCTGTGTTCTGGGGGACTGTATAATTTCTTTAGTATCTCGTAGAATTCATCCATGAAGCCATCGGACTGACTTGTTTGTCTTTAACTGTATCAGTGGTGCAATTAATTACATATATCTCTTCTTTTTTTTTTTTTTTGACAGGCAGAGTGGACAGTGAGAGAGAGAGACAGAGAGAAAGGTCTTCCTTTTGCCGTTGGTTCACCCTCCAATGGCCGCCGCTGCAGCCGGCGCACCGCGCTGATCCGATGGCAGGAGCCAGGAGCCAGGTGCTTTTCCTGGTCTCCCATAGGGTGCAGGGCCCAAGCACCTGGGCCATCCTCCACTGCACTCCCTGGCCATAGCAGAGAGCTGGCCTGGAAGAGGGGCAACCGGGACAGAATCTGGCGCCCCGACCGGGACTAGAACCCGGTGTGCCGGCGCCGCAAGGTGGAGGATTAGCCTATTGAGCTACGGCGCCGGCTACATATATCTCTTCTATTTATTGCAGTGTTTAGACATTCACCAACTGTTGAAACATTTTCAGAGATACAAAGAGGGCTGAATGGTTAAATCGGAGTCTGAGAACTCTTAACTAAAAATGGCTTTAGATCTTACAACTTCATTGAAAAGGAAACCATCCAGGAATGATCTTAATCCAGACAACCCAGAGTTGACAACAACCCAAGAATCCGCTGTCCAGATGGAAGAGACATCTGAGGGCTCGAGCATAGTCGACACATTTCAGTACAACAGTAACGCAAGTTCAAGGCAGGAGCTGCAGAGACTCCTTGAGTCTTTTTACTCATGGCTGCAGCCCGAAAAGCACAGCAAGGAAGAAATGATCGCTCAACTGGTTTTTGAGCAGTTTCTAAAGAGTGGCCATGCCAGGGACACATCCACGTTGAAGACGAAATGGGAAGCAAGAGACAGAAACCTGGAGAAACTAATGGAAGACCTAAATGATGATTGCACGAAGCCACCTGTCTTAGTAAGTCAAGGGATCTGAGCCCTGGGGGGAGGAAACAGGGAGGCGAGAGTCAGGTGGAACCACCTGGAGGTAGAGACAGTTATTGTAGACCCCCTTATTAGTCAGAGTACTCTCCCACCACTCTTCTTCACCAAGGAGAATTTCCATGGGTTTAAGGAAGCAAGAAAAAAAAAGCAAAAAGGTATGTATTTGTTCTGTAGCACATATAGGAGCCAAACATGGAGCTAATTTTGTTTGGTACGGTGGCAAGGGACTCTGAGAAATTAATATTTGAGCTAAGAACTCAAGGATGAGGAAGAAATGCCTTAAAAACTGGTTCTTTTCCTCAAAAAGGCTTATTGTGATTTTTATCTGGAAAGATATTAAATCACAATGAATCCTCATTCTTTTTTAAGTTGTTTTTAAAAGATTTATTTATTTATCTGAAAGGCAGAGATAGAGAGAAAGAAAGAGTGAGTGAGAGTTTCCATCTGCTAGTTCACTCCCTAAATGGCCACAACAGCAAGAGATGGGCCAGGCTGAAGCCAGGAGCCAAGACTTCTTCCTTGTCTTCCACATGGGTGCAGGGACCCAAGGACTTGGGCCATCTTCTGCTGTTTTCCCAGGCACATTAGCAGGGACTCAAACTGGCACCCACATGGGATGCTGGCACTGCAGGTGGAGGCTTAATTTAGACCACAGTGCCAACCCCGAATACTCATTCTTGTATCTCATATTTTAAAACCATTAAAATTCACTCATAACTTCCAAGCCAATACCCAAAGCATGTTGTCATCTGCAAACTTGTGTAGCGTGGCAAAAAAAATTTTTTGAGTCATCTGCTGAGCACATTCCAGATGGTGGTGAACAAGTCTACATTCTGTTTCAGCTCTCAATTATTTCATGCATTTTCACACTTGTGCTTTTTGTTGGTAATTTAATTTTTTAAAATAATGTGTGTGCAGTGCTTAAGTGCTGTTACTACTATTCCTAAAAGCAAGAGGATAGTATATCTTATGAACTCAATACATATATTAGATAGTCTTCCTTCAGGCATGAGTTAACAATGTTTTTGGCCATTAGTACAGTGTTAATTAATCGAGAAAATATATATTAAATATTCATAAACACTTTCGGTATATACGCACATAAAGTTAAGCCGTTGGAGAAAATACTGAGGCCACAAGCTCCCAGGGCACTAACACTATTTTCCTAGAAGCAGTGATTCAGTGCTTGCAAACTCAGTGTCCACAGTGACTGTAGAACATAGCAATAAGTTGGCAATAACAAGAAGGATGCCATCAGAAACGATGGCAAGACAAGGAGATGAGCTCGAGTTGAGGGTCTTGTGAAATCCTGCCGAGGGCTGGACTCCCAGAAGGCCTCTTGTCCTACAACAGCTGCAGACTCAATGGTGATCTGACTTTGGTTACAGGTCCACGTCTACATGCAGGGACAGGAAGCCCTTTTTTCAGAGAATATGCCTCTAAAAGACGTCATCTTTTACCTCAAGAGACAGCTGTCAGCAGGAACCCCAACAGCAGACAACACGAGGACACCCTTATGTACTCGCCACGGCACTTCCGTGGCAACAGCACAAGGTGAGTGAGGGGAATCTGCACGCCAGAGAAGTGTTCTAGTGAGCCCCTTCCTGTGTGCAGCTTCATTGAGTGATTTCTCTGTTTTGCAGAAGAAGAAGATGGCTGCAACGCTTCTTTGAAGACTACTCAAGTAAATGACACTCCTACCAGTCAGAGCGATCAAATCATTTCCCTAGTCATTATCCAGGAAGAGGACAGTCCCAGCAGTTCTGAAGAGGGATGTGTTCCTCTCGGGAACACACATAGTTCTAGAAGTTCAGAGCAAGGCATCCAGGGGTCCCAGGAAGGATGCCTAGAGGGGCCCTCTGAGCAACACGGCCCCATGGAGGTGAGGACAGGGCTCTTACCCAGTCCAGATGCGTCCTCCCCTGAGCCTGCCCCTACCAATCAGAGTAGTGAGGGAAACTCCACAAGTGGGGGACATCAAGAGAGGTCCCACAGTGCCTCAAAATCATATGAATGTGCGGAATGCTCCAAGGTCTTTAGCTATTCCTGTCAGTTGATAGCTCACCAGAGAAGACACAGAAATGAGAGGCCGTTCGTTTGTGCTGAGTGTCACAAAGGCTTCTTCCAGAATTCAGACCTGCGTGTGCATCAGATGATTCACCAAACAGAGAAGCCTTTCGTATGCAGCACTTGTCAAAAGCCTTTCAGCCACAAAACCAACTTGAAGGCTCATGAAAGAATTCACACAGGCGAGAAACCCTATACATGCTCCTTGTGCCACCAAAGCTATCGCCAGTCATCCACATACCACCGCCACCTGAGGACGCACCAAAAGACTGCTCTCAAAAATGCTCCCTCCACTCCAGACGCCTCCTCAGCTTCTTCCCTGATGTGATGTGTGTGTTTCCATACTATTTAGAATCTATTTAGAAGACACTGGAAAACTATTTAGAAGATTCTGTGAGAACTCAGAAAGTCTCTGGAGCTTGCTCCCGGCTCTTCTTGGGGCTCTGCACTTAGACACAGGTGTTAGAAGTGAGTCAGGGAGGTGAGCATTGTTGCCAGAGCTGAGACCGGTTGGCCAGAGCCCACAGGGCTCCAGTTGCTTGAGTCCTTTGGGCGGAACTATCCAGAGGAAGCTGATGGCCCTGAGGTACACCTTTAACAGTGGGGCACACTGATCACAGTTGGCTAGAACAATGGCTGCATTGTTGCCTGGGACTTTTTGACCAGGGGCATTGCTAAAATAATTAGTGCACAATCCATCCTGGCTGTTCTTTTGCTGGAGCTGAGAGGTAATAAGCTCATCAGTGCTTCCACCCATCATGTGTCACAGTGGGATGTTCTTTCAGCCTACTGCAACCAGACGTGTCAAATCCCTTCACCGATCTTTTTTTTTTTTTTTAACAGGCAGTGTGGACAGTGAGAGAGAGAGACAGAGAGAAAGGTCTTCCTTTTGCCATTGGTTCACCCTCCAATGGCTGCCGTGGCCGGCGCACTGCGCTGATCTGAAGGCAGGATCCAGGTGCTTTTCCTGGTCTCCCAAGGGGTGCAGGGCCCAAGGACTTGGGCCATCCTCCACTGCACTCCCTGGCCACAGCAGAGAGCTGGCCTGGAAGTGGGGCATCTGGGACAGAATCCGGCACCCTGACCGGGACTAGAACCCGGTGTGCCGGCGCTGCAAGGCAGAGGATTAGCCTAGTGAGCCTTGGCGCTGGCCACCCTTCACCGATCTTAAAAGTCCAGTGTCATCCACAAGATCAGAACAAGATTCTCATGTGTCCCATGAAATCTGCTCCTGTCGTGTTGACCCTTTCAGATTCCAAACATGTCGTTCTGCCGGTAGACGATAACTCCGACTTGAACGTGGTGGCACCTTTTGGTAGGTGAGGAGAGTATATCTGTACAGGAAATGCAGAAGGTAAGATGTTGGTCTTACAAGCAGATTCGCAAGATCTTGTTGCTTCCTTCAGAATAACCACTGGAACAAGCAATACCATAGTCATAAGGTCAATTGAGTTTGCCTGGAAGGGGAGTTGCTTTTTAACTAACACAGCAGATTGAATGATCAGAGTTTATCATGACAAAGAAATCTTATCCTGTGGAAGAGATGGGGAGGACTTGGTGAACAGTACCCCCTGGAAGAAGTGTTGTTTCTCAGGGGATGGGGAATACATTGTGGTGGGTTCCACCTGGCAGCATGCCCTGTACATCTGGGAGAAGATCGGCACCCTGGTGAGGATTCTCCATGGGAGGAGAGGAGAACTTCTCTTGGATGTGGCTTGGTATCCTGTTTGACCCATCATAGCATCCATTTCTAGTGGAGTGGTATCTATCTGGACACAAAATCAAGTCGAAATTGTAGTGCATTTGCGTCAGATTTCAAGGAGTTGGATGAAAATGTCAAGTACGGGGAGAGGGAATAAGAGTTTGATATTGAAGATGAAGACAAGAGTGAACCTGAACATATGGGCTGATGTTGCAGAAGATGAGGACATGGATGTCACCAGTGTGGACCCATTGCTGCCTTCTGTAGCAGTGATGAAGATATTTGAATAAAGAAGTGAATTATGGAAGAATATACGTCCCCTACCTTCCTTTTTAAGCATTAAGTCCAAATTGGCTCTCAGGAATGAGGATTTGTGAACACGTCAAATAGGGGTTTTTGTCTCGTTTAAATCTTAAAACTTAGTTGTCTTACTAGAGTATAGACGCCTGTATTTTGCTCATCCAACTGTGCTGTGCCCAGGATCCTTTTGCCATGTCATTTTCTATCTCCTGTTTGCTTTCTCTTCTCAATGTATGTCCCCAGGTGACTTGTCTGTATCTGAAGTTTTGTAGCCTAAGAGAACTTGTGCATATTCTCCTTCATTTTTAACTTACTTTCTCCTCGGGTATCTCCTGCATTTCCATACTGGGTACAAAGGATGGGCAGAAAAGAAAAATGCTTGAAATATTAAAGTTTTCGGAAAGTGGAGATAAAGGAGGCAGCCACTCCTTACTCCTGAAAACCCCATTCTTCTCCAAAAGATGGGCAGTAAGAAATGGAGAGCTTTTCCTTGTTCACTGCATGTTTTCTCCCCGTATCGGTTCATCCTCATTAATCATGGCTTTTGAAGATAGCTAATTTTACACATCTCTAGCAGAGAATCATCAATAGTTTATATCACTTTTCCTGTGCTGTCTTCCGGAGATGAAAACAAACTGAGGTATTTCTCAGCAAACTTATTTTTATTGCAGTAGGGGAGTCTATGCAGGGACTAAAGTAAAACCATCCCAAATCAAAGCAGCAGCAGCACAGTTCACATCTAAGATCAAGGCACCTGTGGAAATCTGTCCCCACCTGTCATTGCGCGTCCACTTCCCGTGTCCATGCCCCTTTTTCTCACTGTATTTTCAGTCGCTTCCTTTCTGTGAAAGGTTCTTTAGCTTCATGTCCTCCTTTGCTGTTCTTTATATAAAAAGTAGCAGATTTGATGGATGTGTATATTAGGTGTTTGGAATTTGCTGAAAATCGGAGTCAGGAAGCCAGGACTGGAAAATGCATCCATTGGAGTGAGGGAGACACTAAATCCTGTGCCAACTGGGAAATTCCTGTCCTTTGGTGGATGCTGCTGTAGGTAGCCAAACATGTTGATTTCCTTGTAGACTTTAGGATAGAAATCAAAGAACATATCAGTAGGAGCCTCTTTGTCCCATCCCATCTTTTAGAGCCAGTATATTCAGTAATTGGAGAAAGAACACTCCTTCAGTCAAAAAATGGCTGAGTTTTCAGTTGCCACTACTTTTGACTGCGCATTTTGTGAATTTCCGACATTCTTTTTTTTTTTTTTTTTTTTTTGACAGGCAGAGTTAGACAGTGAGAGAGACAGAGAGAAAGGTCTTCCTTCCGTTGGTTCACCCCCTAAATGGCTGCTATGGCCAGCGCTGCCCCGATCTGAAGCCAGGAGTCAGGTGCTTCCTCCAGGACAGAATCTTTCACCATTGAACTTAGGTAAAATGTTTGCATTATATTGTATGTATTGTACCTTTTTTTTGTGGAAACTTATTAGAAGTTCAAAGAGGATCCCTTCTATTTCTACTCTTAAAAATGTGAAAAATAGATGCAATTACATCACATTATTTTATTAATTTGATTATTGCAAGGTGTCCAGCACATAACAAATCTTCCCAGGCAGACAAATCAATTAATTCACAAGCTTTTATTGGGATTCCGTTCCTAGGCAAGGTTTCCGGGTCCCGGAATAGCAACCAATGATCCAAAGTGTGGCATTAACCAGGTAATGAAGGATTTCATAGAGAGGAAATGGGGGGGGGGTCTCTGGACCCTTGTGAGGATTGTTTGATGGATGTGGTTTAAATGTGATCCCAGCCAAGACTGGGAGAAAGGCCACTCAACTTTTGCAGGTAGAGGGTTTTGTCTGTAGAGAAATTCTGAATAATCATACAACATTAAGTGGGAGAGAGGACCATCAGTACACACAGGTTGGGAGCAGAGCCATTGATTTTAGAGTAGAAACTATGATTACAAAGGAATGAGACCCAAGTGGGCTAGACAGGGTCTAGAACAAAGGACAGAGTCATTATTAGAGGACCCAAGAAAGGTGCTGTCTAAGCCATGAATAAGTTCTCCGATTGAGAGACAAATAGAAACTGACAGAAGGGGCTTGAAAATAATCTGGTGGGCTTTAGGCCTTGTAAGTTATGACGTCCAGACTTATCTCTTCACATGGGGTGCATTATAAGGGAGGTGTGAACCTCCTTGGGAAGGCACACTGTTGACTTCCATTACCTAACTGGCCTGGGAGGAGAACTGGCCAGGTAAAGGCAGGTGGCAACTCTAACAGGAAATTTACAGTTCTGCCTGCAATGTTATTGACCCTATTTGGCGGTCTCCTTTCAGCAGCGGTGGTCACCTTGGAAGCTGGGGCAAGTGAAGGGCTTTTCAGCTTAGAGCCAGTAAGATCTGTGGCTCTGACCTGAAGTCCTTTGACTCCAGGGCAGGTCCATTTCCAGTGATCCAACTCTTGGCAGAGCTGCCAGGGCTCTTCACAAGCTGACTTCTGCTGAAGCCCAGGCTTACCACACTGAAAGCCACTGCAGTGGACTGGCCTGTTGGGTCTCCTCGATGGCAGATCACTGTACAGAGCAATCTTTAATAGGGCTGCCACCTATCTTTACATTGCCTCTGATGCCAGCTTTCTATTCCTCCTGGTTTTTGTTAAAGCAGACCAGAGGATGCAAGTCAAGGGGCTGCTCTAGTCTCATTTCTAATCTTTGGTGGCCTAAACTAGAAGTCTACAGTCACAGGCATTCTAGTAGTGGTTTTTCTGAGGTAGACATGCTCATGAAGAAAGCTACATCCTTACTTTAAAACTTTCTTTTTGGTCTGAAAGAGAGGTTTTGCCTGTTTACTGTGCCAATGGCAAAGTAATCTAGCTGTGAAATTATAATTTATGCTCTTATTTTGACTATGCTATTACATAAATGTTAGCCAACCCTTTTAGAGATTCCTTCATAATAGAATTAGTTTCCTACCTCAAAGATAATAGAGAAATGAAAGAACAAGTCAGGCTTAGAACAGAGAAATGGGGGTTGCCAGTCCCAGATCACTTACTGACAATAGCAATATCACATTAAAACTTAGAAAGCAGTTTCAACCATTAGGTAACAACTTAGGAAAACATTTACCAGAAGGTCCAAGCCTTCTATAATTTTTAAGAATACATGTATTGTAAGAGTTGGATTGCTCTTGCCACCCCAAAAACGCTCCAAGAGACCTTCTCTCATGCAATTAACAAAGGGTAAGGTTTATTGATGATCCAACAGGTTGGGGCCCCTGAGCGTAAGAAGACAGGCAGCGCCGGGGTAGTAGAGGGTTGGGGTTTTTATACACATTTAAACAAAGAAACTCAATCACTGCATAGATCAAACAGTCGGTGCAGAGTACAAGTTAAGTGATTTTACAATCAGTTGATTTATGAATACAGGGAGTACAGGATATCAAGTAAGGGCTTGATTAGACATCAGAGAACCATATGGCCTATACAGGGAGGATCAAAAAGCCTCCTATTGCCAAAAGGGAGGGCCACACAACAAACACAACAAGGTTGCAGGAACTGCCTTGATGATACCTAGGAATGCAGCTGAATGGTGATAAGGGTCACATGGTGGGTTCAGAGTTCCAGGAGGCAAAGAGATAAACAGTGACTTCTTCTATCTTACTTAGGTGAAACTAAGGTTAAGCTTACATTGGGGTAATTTACTGACTAACTATAAAGAGAATGGCTATGCAGAGCAAGTCTGATGAGGTCAGGAAAGTTCACCAGAGGAGGGGAGGGGGTACGGGAGCGGCTTTTAACTTTTTAACTCTTCAGTATTTGGAAACATCTTTTAAATATCAAACATGGTGTAGCTTGTTTAACCAGCAAATTGAAGCACAAGCATATACAATGTTTTTAGTTTCTTTCTACCAACAAATTTAAAACATCTGATACAGAGATTCAGGTCACATGAATTAAAATGTATCTTTGGATAATTTTAGCAGTTTAAATTGATGAGCAATCCTTTATCTATAAGCCAATTAAAATAAAACTCTTAATAAATTTTCCCGTGTAGACATACAATATGTATACACATATAACATAACATA